TGAATTATTTTTTTTTTTAGAAGAATAAAATATTCTTAGCGCTGTATAAGTGTTTTGATGAGAATGAGACGCGTAGGTGACGTGCGACGTACTATCATAAGAGCAAGTATCATATGTAAACATGAGATGAGTTTTCATTGGAAAGAAAATTGTAAATGCTAATATCTCATTCTCAGATATTAGAGACCGATATATTAATAATAATTTAAAAGGTATTACAATTTTGTTTAGAGAAGATTCCAAAGGACTCAATCGTGTAACCAAATCACAACCTGATATAAATAGAATGAATACTTTTATAAAAGAATGATTTGACTGAATACTAGATTGATAAGGAAGTAGTATTATACACTAACACTCAAGTCTTTAATAGTTTGTAACTTTTTGTTTAAAAGTATTTTTTATGTAACCAAAATTATTTATAGTTAATTAAATGATTAAATTATTCAAGTGTTACTTAATTACGTGCTTGTGACGAAAAAAAAAATTATGTTTTGCCAAGCCAAATTTTTTGGAGTTACGTTTTATTTCCCACCAACAGCGCCAACGCAACATGGCATCAAAAGTAACCAAGTCCCGTGAGTGTCATTAATAATTGATTGATCATTGAATTCAGCGGTGAGCTCATTGCCTAATTTCTTTACCATAATTTTCCACGTATGTTTATTTATATCCTCCCTAATTTTCATTAAGATATGTTCGGTAACTTTCGAGATATTTATGAAAATGTTCATAACCTCCACTTTTTTCATAAGAGTGCATGTTACATTTTTTTTTTTAACTAACAAACCCAGGGCAACAAAAATTTAATGGTGTATTCTATGTTTCTAAAGCATCAATTGTAGGAAGTTTGAACGAAATCTATTCGGTAACTTCATGGCTGAGGTACCTCCTTAAGTAAACAGGTGGGCTTCTCAAATAAAATACATAATATAAAAAAATTTAAGTCAAGTTTCTTGTATTAATTTTGATACGAATTTAATATAATGAATCTTATTGACAAAAGACATGGGAAAGTTCTGTTTTTTTTTGTTTTTTTTTTTAAGATTTGGGAAGGCTTTGTAAGATGACTAATAAAAATACTCCAATTTCATTGACCGATACTTCCACGGTCTATATTATTCTATAATTCTCAAATTACTAATAAAATTAGACAATATTAAAAAAATGCATCTTTTAAATGTCAATTTGGAAACAAAAAATTTCACAAAGTCGATTTGGCAATTTAAAATGTCACTCTAACGTGCCTGATTAAAGTAAAGCCTTGGAAATAGTTGGTCAAGTTTTACAAGTTTACTGCAATAATAATAAACCATTTAGAATCATACTGGTATGTCGGCTTGACGTACTATTTGGGCCTAAACTTGCACCTAAAATATACAAAGGCGTGTAGTGAGCAGCACGACACAATAACAGCAAGGGGGCTCAAAGCGAAATATATATTCGTACCTAACCTTTGCCTCCCTCACTGTCCTGAGCATGGGTAAACAACTACCTTCAAATAACGAAGCAGAGTATTGATTATTGCGAAGCAGTCTAGAGGGTACCACTGATGTCTAGAGCGGCAATGCACGCCTTAGAGTTCACGTGGAAATTCGAGGGTATTAACGAACGACGCAACCTAAAGAGTACCACTGTCATTTCGAGCAGCGGTGTATACTTTAGGAATTACATACATGCAGAATTAAATTTAAATAACGATTCGACCTAGATGATGCCACAGCTGTCCCAAATAGCGGCACACTTTAACGGTAACGTGCGCGAAAATTGGTGTACCTCGAATAATGTATCTCTATCTCTGCTGCCGGGAGCTGTAGTACACAGTTAACTATAAGGTAGGATATACTAATAAGATAGAGAAGGATTATTGAAATAAAAATGTTTGGAAATATTATCCTACACACTTTTTATTCCATATCTGGATTGTACAGCGAGCCAGAGCAATAACTCACTGGTTGGAAAATTAGTATACCTATTATGATTAACTTACCGTTATTTTCTTGAAAACTAATAAAAATAATTAACAATAACAATAATGATTATAATGATTATTATACCAATATAAGTAAATAATAATAATACAAATTAATCTTGTTAGTTACTATAATAAATACTAATACTGATAGTCCTAATAGTAATAGTAATA